AAAAAAAAAAAAAAAAAAAAATATATATATATATATATATATATATATATATATATATATATATATATATATATATATATATATATATATATCACCGTGTATAAGATTTTGTATCAGATCCGGAAGACTTTTCCCGAAAACTTTGCAGCGAAGAAAAAAGTTAGAAATTACCAGAACTCGATCGAGCACGGATCGCTAGGAAGGAAAACAAATTTCTATTCATTAATTCCCGCTTCTTTGCGCGTTTGCATAAAAATCGGCAGCCCGATCACGATGCCGCGACGGCTTTGCGATGAAATCGAGATTATTCCTCACGGAAAACAACCCCTCGCGTTCAGGTACATCAGTTCGGAACGTGTGTGGGATGCATCGATGTAATCTGGTTCGTTTTTCCTTGGTAATCAGCACGTGAAAGGCATACAACGGAATTCAAGTACACTGACCATGCATGCGTGACTAATTTCGGGGTAGGAGCGAACAGAAAACGTCGAGGGGAAAGGGGACGACAACTAATATAGCACAAGTGAGACACTATGGGACGTATTGTAAGCCGACGAGAAGTTGGCCGTCTATTTAGAAAATAGAAAATCAGAGGATCAAGGGAAATCGTCCGCTTGCGCTGCTCTATTAACACGTTGACCGCTAAATCAGCACTCATCGGATTACAGTTAACACTAGAACTACTAGATGGATCAAAATCACTCATTCCTTGATTTTTTCTTTCGCGATTACTGAAGAAGTATGAATATCTCTTGAAAAAATGACTAAAGAAGCTGATTAATATCTAAACTGAAATATAAGCTATTTGAAATTTTAATAAATTCAGGCTTTTAGCTTTTATAAAGACATTTAAAAATGACGGTTTAAGTGCTCGGTAGTTTTAGTGTTAGAGCAATCTTATTGACACATTGCTAACCTAATTTTCAATTGAATTGTGCTGATGGCAATTTTGAGTGCAACTTACATCAATTTTCTCAAACGGATACTGCCTAGAGAGTGACGATTAGATCTTTTCTCTCGAATAGTCACTCTGAATGTAGTGTCCATTTATGTGAAATGGGCGCGCACCTTAACAAAAAACGCAAATCAAACAAAATCTGACAAGGTAAAATATGATTGGTAATCATATATTCGAAAATTTGTAATAATTATTCTAATATTCCATGAATATAGAGGTTCCATTAGGTACTATGTACTTTAGGAGCCATCTTAGAGGGTATTAACCAGAGCAAGCGAACGATGTTCCTTTTTGCTGTTCAATTTCAAGGTCAATTTATAGTATCCCATCAGACACGGAATACCAATCGACGAAAGTCGAAAACGTATCGTGTCTGATCAGACCTGATAAGACTCTTATGCACGATGAGCCTTATCACGTGACAAGCGATGGGTAAAATACTCAAACCCATCAGTAAAATTTAAAAATGTCTATGGACAAATCTCATCGCGAATAGAGGTCTTTACGCTACATACAAGATCAAATGCGGGAAAACCATCCCACCACGATTATTTCGGAAGAATAAAGACGTAAAGTTCCCTTAAACCTTTCGAAACAGAAGAACTACGTTTCTATTCTACTAAAAAAATTGTAGTTGTGACGTTTCTCCACGAGCCATTTATTTGACCTAAACACTGACATCTTATGACAAGTATTCAAAGTTTCCGGGTGTAAGCTGCGTCCATTATCAATGATTTCCCGACATTTCGCCAGCATTGCATCATCGATGCTGCACACAAAAATCTATCTTCGAATGAAACACTATGCTTGTTATAGTACACATCAAGAAATAAGAAACACTCGTGGCCTTTTTAAAAATGGTCCTCCGTTTCCTGGAAAGCAGAGTTTTAAATTCATATGTTACTGTAATAAGACGTCGTGACGTTTCGTGAAACCTACCACAACAAACTCTCGTTTCAAACACCATGCTTGGAACTCCTTCCATCCATCTTCTTCTATTTCCCTTCGAATTATAATCTCTAAACAATTCGTGTTTCATTATTGTAATATTATCGTCTTATTACAGTACCGCAACCTTGAAGCTCATTTCTATCGAAAACTTCTAGATCTAGCTCTAAAACTAGATCGAGGATCACTGTGAAAAAAAGCCATAAAGGTTTCTCATTTCTAGATACATACGCAACATGCACAGTATTTCGAAAGCAGATTTATATATCTGGCCCTCTCCTGACAAACGAGATCGCGTCGTGCTCGATTGGATAGTATAAATTGACCTTCGCCTCGCAGATGGATAGTCGGCCAACTTCTCATCGGTGTATGATAGAAGAGGTGCGCGTGCTCGCGCCCGAAACCGCGTCCTCGGCTTTTCGCGTCGGTCACCTGTCGCGCGGCGACGTCCGCGAACTTCGGTCGAATAATAAACGGCCGCGGGAAGCCGCAAGCGATTTCCGCGAACCGACGGGACGGGTCCTTTGAGTTTGCCGTGGGGTTAACACAGGACGAACGAGTTTCTAGGGGCGAGAAGTTGCAGTTTTGCGGTCAATGCGTGGCGCGGACCGGCTCGGATTGCTTCGATGTTCGCGGAGCAGCCATCCGGGCGCGGGGAATTTCTCTCTGTGCACGCGAGCTTCCGTGCGCCGCGGGATCGCTCATAATACGGTAAACCCCGGTTATTCAAATTCATCGGGGGGAAAAGAAACTTCTAGAGTTGTCTATCTTGTTAAGGGATCTCGTTGCTCGGCTGCGGATTTCGCGCGGCTCCACTTCCCGGAGAAAAGTGTGAAATTCCTGGAGACTTCGAATAACAATCGTGAATTTTATAGGATTAATTTCGGACGATATCGTGCTTCTACAATTTAAGCGGTTAATTATGATAGTGAACTTGTAGACAGAAATATTACAGTACACATTGTACAAGCAACAATCTATAAATGTTTCTAACCATTACACGAGAAAAAGCAGAACCGAGATATTCAAAACTCGAACGTTTAGGGAACGAAAGAAGTTAACCCTTAACGGACCAGAAGTATTTCAAGTTGACCAAAGAATACATAGACAAGAAAGAAATTCATAGAATTGAACATAATTAACGCGTTCATTGTAAATATCTTAATAACAACGAGAAAATAAAACGATTCTTACCACCATATATACGACATTGTATACACTGAATAAGTAATAGTATTATACGACATCGCTCCGTTAAGGGTTAATTATTATTAACAAGAACAATGTTGAAATCGAAGAACCCGGTAGTCGATCGGCCAAGCATTGTCTAACGGGTCCCAGGTACGCGGTAAGAAAGAAAAAGGGGCAAGAAAAAAGGAAACGTCGCGTACGTGTCGATTTGCACGGTGAGAACGCGCGGGTAAAAACGGCCGGAAAAATCGCATCAGCATTGGCGACGCGGAAAAAAACGGGTGAAAAAAGCGCGAATCCGGCGGGCGTGGCGAGCAAAAAGAACGGCGCTGCGTGTATTGTGCCGCGTTCGCGGAAGGCCGGGTCGGGGCAGGTTGAAGCCGGGCGCCAGGCAGAAAGGTGTAAAAGGGAGGCAATGGGTCGCATAAAAACGCCAGCTATGAAATGCAAAATCAGCGCGCGCGCGCGACGCGCCCGCGTTTCGCCTCGCTCGCTTGTGTTCGGAGTCGATACACACAGTGTCATTTTCATCCTTTCGGCCTCTGCCCATACGCTTCGCGGCCCGCCGCCCCCGTCCCGCTAGAAACGGACGACACGCGCGCGAGCGAGCAAGTGGGGAACCGGTTCGAAAAGAAAGAAATTGCAGGCACACATCAAAAAGCGGTTCCGGTGCGGCTCGTCTAGCTAGCTGGTTCACTCGTGGCAGTTCTCTGCGTGTTCCTGTGTGTCATCCGTGTCGCCTGCGTGCTTTGTCGGGCTGGCGCCACTTCCGGCCAAGTGTTTTTGCGCCGCCCGGAGACTCAGAAATTGTTCCTTCGGAGGCTGGTTTATTGGCCGTCCTTTGTTTACCACGGAAAACGAGCTGTTTCGATCGGCCCGGATAAATATACGGCGCGCGCTAAAAACTAGGGATTCCCCCAGTTTGCAACGGGAATTTTATGCGTTCGACGCCTAGCGGTCGTTTTATGTAAACAGATCAGCTCGGAGGTAGATCGGGACTGGAAAACACGCGTTTTTCACGTGGGAAACGTGAATGTTTTTTCTACTGTCACGATTCGTTCGCGGTCAGTCGCGAAAGTTTACAGCTGTCGGAGTTGAAATATTCGGAGGTTTAGGGTATTGCATGTAGAATTTGGAGACTGTGTGTACTGTTGACGTGGAGGGAGGATATTTGTAAGGTAATCTTATGAACTTCTTAATATATTTTATTTTGAAGCTGACGCTTTAAAGTGTAATGCCTGGATATTGGAAATCAATCATTTCAGAATTTCTCTTGTTAATCATTCAAGTTTATGAATTACTTTGAACGATTAGCTGTTACTTGCGACTTTCTGGAAATAAGGAGTTCATTGGTTATTCAAGGTTCCTTCCTTTTATACTTCCCAATCATTCACAAAAATAGGAAAAACGTCACGAACCCTTTTACACTAAAATATGAATTCACGTATAATCATTTCATATTACTAATTTCCCATTCTGGACGCGTGTCCGCTAGAATCTCCAGAATAAACCAGCACAGAACGATTCCGTCGAAAGCAGAAATTTCCCGTTGCGAAGATGTACACGCTTACCTTAACTCCTGATTATAACGAATGAAATAACAATAAACCAGCGCAGAGCGAGTTCTTCGTCTCCGACACGATCGGCCGCGTGAACAGCGCAAAGGACGCGTGAACACGTTCGGTATGTGAATGCAAGCGGATGTACTAAACAGGCTACGTTCGAATATGAGCGAAAGAGAATGTTGGCGTCGCTTGTGGAGGAAAGCGCATGATAGAGAAACAGGGCATGAAGAGAGGCAGACAGAGTATGAAGTAGTCATGATGCAGAGACAGATAGACAGAGAAGAGACAGAGAAGAAACAGAAGAGAGACAGTCGTGAATATGACACATGTACAGATATATCGGTATAATATGAATGAATGATAATATTTATATATAGACATGTACATGTATATATGTATATAGCGAGGTAGACAGAAAGAAATAGTG